CTGCCTATGTTTCCTGTTTAAAGACTATATGGTTTATCGTTGCTGTATTTCAGAGGGGGTGGGGCTCATTGGGAAATGCCTTTCCTATACTCAGTGTACAGATGACCTGCTTAGGCATCTACTTTTCTTTATATTTCTAAGGAAGTGTCAGTAATCTTGAATTTAGAAGATTTATCAACAGCAGGTAGCCAGACTGACATTTCCATAAAAAGACTCAAGAGACATTCTATGCTTGTATCAAATCTTGTGTCTCTGCATTCAATTGTTTTAAAACGGTAACATTTCAAATGACCTCCAGGAGTGACATCTAGGCAGGGTAAGAGAATAGCCAGAGAAATGCCAGAGGAAGCGACTCTCAGCTTCTCAGTTCTGGGAATCACCCTGAGATGTGGAGAAAGGAATGTGACTTCAGTTTGTACTCATCTTTGGTCGCTTTCTGAGAGGCCCTCAGTCAAGAGTCAGATAAATAAAGCACCACTGGAAATAGGGTTGGGCAAATGTGAATTCTACCCCCATGACAGCTGACAGCTTGATGATTCCCAAAAGCTGGTGGGGCACAGTGGGAAGAGAAAGTAATTCTGGACTCTTCATGAGCCACTGTGGCCATCTCAAGCCACTGCAGTTTTTGTAGACACTTTACACAGCGAAGCATTTCCAATATGTTGCTTTCCTTAGTTCAGTCTAAAAATATCTCCGGAAAAAAAAAAAAAAAAAGTGCCAGAGGCTGAATGAACTCCAAGGCTAGGGCTTAATGCAATCTTGGGAGGCAGCAATTTAGGAGGCCACCTACTAGTGAGAACAGTGTGTGGACTATGCCCTCCAGTGCCCAGTGTCTCTGGGCAAAAGTAAACAGTGGGCACAGCTTTCGCAGTTACTGCTAAAACCACAACATCAGCGGTTTCCATCTAAATCACATCCGCATGCTGCCTGAAGGTGACGGTGAAACCAATCCAGCTCATACGTCATCCTCATTCCTCAGCACGCTGCTACCAAGAGCACTCATGCACTCATTTTATAAGCAGGTCTATTTCTTCAGCACAAAGACTACTTTTAAGTATTTATTGCAAATGGTATTTTTCCATACTATTTATGGATATTTGATACAGGCCTTGGGTAAGCAAATAAAAATAAGTGAACGAAAGGCACATGTCACTGACCAGTTAGCTTAGTTGCTTAGAACATGGTGCCAATGAAACTTGGTAGAAATCATCAAAAGGTTGGCTTTTGGTGGCAGCACAGAGATTCCCATGCCATCGTGTACCAAATGTAATGCTAGATTTATGTCAACTTGACACAATCTAGGGTCATTTTGAGGGAAATTCCTCCACCAGATTGTCCTGTGGAAGACAAGCCTGTAGCACATTTTCTTAATTACTGATTGATGTGGGAGGGCCACGTTCACTGTGTGTGGTGCCACCCTGGGGCAGGTGGTCCTGGAGTGGTATAAGAAAGCAAGATGATCAAGCCAGGAGGACCAGGGCAGTAAGCAGCATTCCTCCATGGCCTCTGCCTCAGTTCCTTTCTCCAGGTTCCTGCCTCGAGTTCCTGCCCTGCCCTCCCTCAGCCATGGAGTGTGACATGAGAGTTGTAGGTGAACTAAAGCCCTTTCCTCCCCAAGTGCTTTTGGCCATGGTTATCACAGCAATAGAAACCTAACTCAGACACAGTGCTAAGTTGGCATTCCTCTGAGTGTCACTCCACTCCACAGGAAGGCTTGGGAGAAACCAGCTGTTTCTTGGAGGCTTATGCAACCTCAGTCTCTGCTGAAACTGTGCAAACACTCCACTTGAACAAACTACTTATTGTGCATACTTCCCTTTAGAACTGAAATGATCAAAGACTCCTGAGGTCCATGAATAAGGACTTCTCCTACTGGGAATTCAAGCAAAGATGACTCTATCATCTAATTCCTCTGCACAGAAAACTGTGCTTCACAGAACTACCATTAACTTCAGTAGTCAGAACTAAAGTCAACCTCAGTAGTCATAATATTTCAGGGGATATGATCTATCATCTATCTTGACTATGCATTTACCTACCTATCTGTCATCCATCCATCCATCCATCCATCCATCCATCCATCCATCCATCCAT